TTATACCGTTTTTTTTTTTTCCTTTTCCAGACATGGCTGGAATCTCCCGCTAGAGGATCAGCTTTTCCGTGGCAGGGATTTCTTCCACAGCCCAGAGCCACAGTCACAGGCAGAGCCCAAGAAGCCATGCCAGTCAGACTCAGTTCATCAACGGCAGCAATGGTGGAAGCCAGCACTTACTGAGCATGGATTATGTGCCAGGTACTTTGGGGGCATTATCTCATTTAGCCCTTACAATTCTAGGTAGGTCCTATAATCATCCCCATTTACGAAAATTGGGATAAAAAATAACCACATAAAAATTACCACCTTAGCTATTTTTATGTGTACGGTCAGTAGTGCATTCACATACACCTTGTATATGCACATTGCTGTGATTATCCCAGTTTTATAGATGAGAAGTTTTCTCCAGGAAGTGAAGTCATTTCCCCCAGGTCCTTCACCCAACAAAGACAGAGATGGGACTCAGAGTCAGGCTATCTGACATGAGAACTGTGGGGAGCCGATAGAAGGTTAAGCCTCGGACTGATCTGTTGGCAAAGTCACAAACAAGTCTTCTCCGAGTCTTAACCCAATCCGAGAGGTGGCCGCTGATTTACACGCGCTGTCATTTAAAAAGTAAAAATGGGGGAATTTGCTGGAAGCTGGTCCACCCTTGCTGCTTGACACAGTCACTGCAGGGAAGAAACATCTGCACAGCTTATGTTTCAAGGGACCTGGCGTATATGGCATATGTTTGCTCCCCCTCTTAGCACTATGTGTTTTAAACAGACCCACCTCCCCGAGAAAGGTTGTTTCCCCAGGTGGGATTTTTTTTCCCTGGAGCTAGCGATTAACAGGACCAAGGAAGGGAATAAATCTGTAAAACCACTTAGAACTAAGTGCCAGGTGGGTAGTTAATCACTTTAACTACCAACAATCACGCTTAAACTACATAATCTTTACTTAGGATAATCTCCTTCAGTTACTTCCTCGTAGCTTAATAGAACAATAGAGTAACCTTGGAATGGAGATAAGAAACGCTCTAACCTTTGGGATAGAATGGATAGGATTAAAATCAACTGGTATAAATACAGATGTAACAGGACAATAACGACAGAACCTGGCTGTGATGATCAACTGAACGCTGCCTCCGTGTCATTCCTTCTTAGCTGACTCCATCCACACCTTTGGGAACCCCTGGACCTGCTGGGGCTGGACCCCAACAGAGGGACTTGATAGGGAATCGGAGGTGGCGGTAGCTGCGGCCTTGGTTGTCTTCCAGTCTCCTCCGCTCGTCCTCTAGCCAGCATCTCTCCCCTTCCCTCCTTCCCTTCCCTGTCTGTGATCGGCGGTGGCGGCTCCAGCAACTGGCTGGGCCCGATCTGTGAAGAGGCCTTAGGCAACGATAACGGCGACGGAGACACCTCGGAGCTCGCAGGGCGGGGGAAAGGCCCGGGCCTTGGAGATGGAGAATTCCCAGTTGTGTAAGCTGTTCATCGGCGGCCTCAATGTGCAGACGAGTGAGTCGGGTCTGCGCGGCCACTTTGAGGTCTTTGGGAACCTGACGGACTGCATGGTGGTGGTGAACCCCCAGACCAAGCGCTCCCGTTGCTTCGGCTTCGTGACCTACTCCAATGTGGAGGAGGCCGATGCCGCCATGGCCGCTTCTCCCCATGCCGTAGACGGCAACACGGTGGAGCTGAAGCGGGCGGTGTCCCGGGAGGATTCGGCGCGGCCCGGTGCCCACGCCAAGGTTAAGAAGCTCTTTGTCGGTGGCCTTAAAGGAGACGTGGCCGAAGGCGACCTCATCGAGCACTTCTCGCAGTTTGGCACCGTAGAGAAAGCCGAGATTATTGCCGACAAGCAGTCCGGCAAGAAGCGTGGCTTCGGCTTCGTGTATTTCCAGAATCACGACGCGGCAGACAAGGCCGCAGTGGTCAAGTTCCATCCGATCCAGGGCCATCGCGTGGAGGTGAAAAAGGCCGTCCCCAAGGAGGAGATCCACTCCCGCGGAGGCGGAGGCGGAGGCGGCTCCCG